TAGAGTCATATATTCAACCTAAAGTAAAATTTTGATGACTATTTGTGGAGTAGTTGAATAAATGTGAATAATTACATACAGAGTATAAACGAAAGGGCTGTGTTTAAGACTAGGTTCATCTATCTCTAAAGATTAGCATCTTTCTATACAATCAAAGAATTGGCTCTAAAAACCATCAACTATAATAACACAATTATTACTATTTCCTATCTTAATATTATGGCAATTCCCTCTTTAAAAACAATAAATATAATGCTAATACCATGATTTCTCCTATTTCCAGATTGGATAAATGTATAAGAAGTTGTTGAAAAAAGCAATAGCATTTTAATATCTATCCCTAGTCACCATTGATTTGATTTTCCCTTCGGCTTAGAATTTTAAATATTCAAAATTCCATTAGCTATTAAATGCTTCAGTCTGGATATTACTAGATCAGAATTTCTGGACCACCCTGTGAAAGACAGACTTTTTTCATTAAGAAGCAAAAAAATCAAACAGGCTGCAGTGACTTTTCTTGGAACTCAGAGGATGTGTGGAGGAAGAAGGTCTTCTTTGACCAGAGAGTCAATGCCCTTGGGAGATGCCCAGACTTTGCCCCCTTCATTCAGCTTTTCCTGCCAGTCCTTATCCTCAAATAATCCAAAGCTACAAGATGATTAAGAGCCCTCATGGCCCATTTGAGAGTTCTCTTGACCTCGATTATTATTTTTACTTTTATTAATCTGACCACCTCAATAGCACTGTTGTCATGGAAAGTCTGTGATTTGACCTCAGAAGACAAATGTTGAAGTCCTGTCTCTGCCACTAACACAGCCTAATGTTAGGCCAATCACTTTACCCCTCTAAGCTCCAGTTTCCTAACACACAAGAAAAGAATAGTCACTGCTGTTTTGCCTAACCTTCACAGTTTATTGTCTAGCTCAATACCTTTTTTATATGAAAATGTTTCTAAGTGGCAAAATGTTTATAAGCAGAAAATACCATACAATTGTAGGTTACTTCTCCCTCTCTTCCTCTCTTTTTTCTCTTTCTCTCATTTAGTTGTCTTACAAATCAAATTCCATCCTGGGGCAAAGAAATTGTGCAAAATGATTTTTTTTAACAAGAGGTACCCTTCAAAACTAACAATCTCATCTTCTTCCTCATCTTTCTTCCTTCTCATAGTCCTTAGATATATTAGATATATAACACATACAGCCATATTTGAAAGAGAGCAAGCCTTTCTATTTCTTTTCTACCTAAACATGAATGTTTTGACTGAAGTCCCTCATGATGCTTTATCTAGAGCTCTGTAGCCATGACTTCTCTCCTCATTCCAATCTTTCTCCTTATCCCCATTTCCCTAGCTATGACCACTCTAGAAGGGCCTCTTCCCCAATTTTGCCCCTCAGGAGATGTAATTACATGAACTAATAGTAGCCTCTCTTCTAGACCCATCTTTGCATCACCTTCTACTATCCCTTTTCAGTTTTAGGGATAAGATGTAGATATTGAATTCAGGTGAATGTTTGGGAATCCTGGGGAAACGTGGGCAAATTTCTCCGCTATCCTGAGCCTCTGACTCTCCATTTGTACAGTGGTGATAATAACACTATTTCATTGTAGGGCCTGGGACAAATTATATGAGAAGGAGCATGTGAAGAGCAACACATAATAAGTATGCAATGTTGTGCTTATTAAGGGAAAAATCCCCCTTTTGCTGCTGCATGGAAATCAGAATTTCATTTTGACATCTGACTATTGTCTATGTTTTATTTCCCATCATTTTCATCTTATATGACTGCTTAAGCCACCTCAGTTTTGTTTTGTTTTTGTTTTTGTTTTTGTTTTTTGGCTTTGATGGAGAATAAGTATGATTTTTGCTTTACCTCTGGTACAGAAAGTTCCAAGACAACTTAGTATAACAAAATGAACATCGAACTCAAAGTCACGAGAAGCTTTCACTGTTTATGTGCTCCTTTAAATCAAAAGAACAAGATGTAAACTATTTTTTTTATGTCATCTCCTGTGCTTCAGGCTCCTTTGTGCCTTAACAAACTTGAAAGAGACTGATTTACGATCACTTTGGGCAAATTGCCTGTCGAATTCTGAGGACAGGAAATGAAGAAAAAAAAAAAAAAGTGCAGCACACACCCCCGGACATTCCACACAACATGTGGAATAAACAGGCCTAAAAAGGAAACCAAAAGCTCTTGGTCTTATAGTGAGGAGTATCATGAATGGCCTTTGGGAGAACATACAGTAAGGATAATAAACTTCTGGAAAAATACTTCAAGAGGGGTGAACTTGACCCTGATTAAAGATAATCTCCCCCACCCCCACCTTTTGTCTAAAGGATGGTGAATACTTTTAAGTTAGGTAAATTATGTTACCTGTATCAACATTATGAAAGAGGGGTACCATATTATAGACTTGTTCCTCTCAAACCTTCACAGGAATTGCACTTTCTGGGGATCTTGTGGGGATGGAGACAGTGATTCAGGAAATCTGAGTGGAACCTGAGATTCTGGATCCCTCACAAGCTCTGGGTGATACAAATGCTACTGGTCTGCAGGCCAGTTGTTTCTCCATCATCTTCAACAACATTCTTGGTGGTGGTGTTTTGGTCCTTATCTACGGAAGAGTGAGTTTCACCCAGGACAATTTTGGTCCCAGGGGAATTTGGCAGTGTCTGGAGACACTTTTGATCTTCACAATGCAAGCAGTACTACTGGCATCATGTGGACAAGGACCACACATGCTGCTACAATACACAGGATAGACTTTCATAACAAAGAATTTTCTGACTCTAAATGTCAATAACACTAGAGGTGAGAAATCCTGTTGCAGACATACTATTTTGTGTATCTCTCATATCAAAAATAATCTTAGGGCACGTGGGTGGCTCAGTCGACTTTGGTTCAGGTCATGATCTCATAGCTCATGAGCTCAAGCCACACGTCGGGCTGTATGCTGACAGATCAGAGCCTTGGAGTCTACTCCAGATTCTCTCTCTCTCTCTCTCTCTCTCTCTCTCTGTCTCTCTCTCTGTCTCTCCCCCACTTGGAGTCTGTGTCTCACTCTCTTTCTCAAATATAAATAAATATTTAAAAATTTAAAAAAATGATCTATTAAAAATTTAAAAAATAAATAAACCAGTGAGAGATAGGTAGGAGACTAAATAGTCTGGAGTAGAGTGAACTGTGTTTAAAACTGTCTTCAAATATATGAAAGGCAATTACGCAGAAGATGGTAACCAGCTGTTCTTCATCACACTTGAAGTATGAGCAGGAAATGTACATAAATGGACCTATGCTACCCATCCATTCTTTTTCTGCATTTTCCACGCCAGCGAGGCAAATCTCTCTATGATATTGTAACCATATTTGTCCCATTTTGCTTCTTACTACTTGCAGAGACCCTCCCAAATCCTTGGGACATATTTTCTTCACACTGCCAAGTTGACTTTCTCCCTCCCTTTAAAAATCTAACTGGAAAATTTCCATCTCCATTAAGTCTTTCTGAACTAAAATGAAGCAGTTGCCAGTTCACTTCTAACTTCAACTGGTACACTTTCTCCTTCAATGTGTTCATTCTACAAATATGTTATTGCCCATCTGTGTACAAGGAACTGTGCTAGATTGGGGGAAGGGATAAAAAAGATGAGTAAAAGAGTCTCTGCTTTTAAGAATTTTCCAATCTTGGGGAAGAAAACCACACACAGATAATTACAATGTAAATAAAATAGTATTTAATAATTATTTTCATGAGAGATATTTAAAAGATGAAAGAGAATGGTTTAGTAGTTAAAAGATTATTTCCAGTTGGAAAAATCAAGGACAACTTTATAAATAGGTATACATAAGTATCCTTTTTCATAAATAAGTATATATAAATATCTTTTTTTTAAGGACAAAATTTTCTATAAATTAGGTACAACCCTGGGCAAAAAAAGAACTTAATAATGTTAAAATTTGAAGATAGTAAATTAGAGTATAGAATGAGTTTGAGTCTGAATTTAGACTATATTTATGGAAGACTTTATAATGAGTAAGGAAAGAGAATTTTTCAGGATATGTGTAGCTATATCATGATTTTAACAAAGGACAGTGAATTTAATCACCTCTGAATGTATCTTATGATGCTTTGTAATTTTATAAGGGAGTGCTCTTTGGAAAGAATTCTTAATTTCATCTAGGAGGGGAATACTTTGTGATTTCACAAGTATACTTTAAAAACTAGCACCAAACATGGAATTTGGCACCATTCAGAACTCTTTTTAGGAGAGAGTCTCACTTGTAAAGTGTTTTCATTACCTGAACTACAAGGAAATGGAAGAGAATTAGCCCTCATTGAATATCTAATATGTGCCAGGCACTGAGTAAACTCTAGCTATGTCATCTGATTTAGATATATCATCGACAGCAACCTATGTGTTTATCACCACCGACAACACTTTAAGGAGATTCTAGCATATTGATTGAGAGGGATGCAGAGCAAATCTCAGGCCTGTTTAGGAAGCCATTTCTGGGTGAAGACAATCAGCTTGCTTTTCCTTTGGAAGCAGCAAGGAGAAAGCTTCCTGTCCTGAGGATTTAAATGGTGATACTTGCGTAGTCAAAACAGGAAAATGAAGTTGTTTACATTTCATTAGTGGCCATGATTCCCTGTAGAGCTCATTACTGGAAAGCTATCCGTAACTCCCATTAGGCACAAATAAGCATGACTTTCTGCCAGCTCTCTCACACATCCTGAAATCACAAGCTTTGGGAATGGTATAGCTACTGAATTACTATAGGATTTTGTTCGAATGTCAGTACTTGAATTCTTTAGCCATGATATTGGTTTAAAGTCAGTAATGCAGTTAATATCATAGACCTTTCTTGCAGTTCTCATTTTTTTGAACATCATCGCTCTTTTTAATAAGAGCACAGTTTTTAATCATGTCTTCCATAATTCAAAACATGATGGAATCTTAGTTAACTCTGTGTAACTGGACTTTTTTTTCCCTCTTAAAGTTGTTTTAGGCTTCTGCGTATCATTCAATGTTGATGTGAAAAATTCAATGACCTTCAGTGGCCCAGTGGAAGACATGTTTGGATATACTGTTCAACAATATGAAAATGAAGAAGGAAAATGGTAAGCTGGTTGATTTTGTTGTGTTGTTTTTTAATTTTCTTCTAAGATAATGGAAAATCTTATTTAGCTACAGTCTGTTTTATGAATGAGACTTCAACAGAATGAATTATGTATGGTAGAAAATGCAGTCTTAATCATTCGGTAATGGAAACTGACCCAGTTAAAAAAAAAAAAAAGGAAAATTCCTTGGCAATATTAAAGGAAGTGGTTAGTGATTTCTAAGCCTGTGTTGACCTCAAAGAAGGTCCTTGTCCAAAATAGTCATTGTTCTGTAATTATGTTATTCTGACAAGAGTTCTTTGATTCTTCTCATTTTAGAATAGCTAAAATTCAGCTGCAAGTATTGGAAGCCAGATGAGATCCCAATGAGATCGAAAGGGTTAATATCACAAAATATTATTGGACTAATTTTTTGGTGATTTACTGACCTACTGAGTTTGATTTATGGTTTATAATGAACTTTACTGAATTTCTTTTATACACTTTTAAACCCTTTGATAATAGTTCATTTCACTTTAGGTATGACTTTTAAACCACATTTAACTTGTTGAAAATTACACAAAATTAATATTAAAGCTCTTTTGCTGTATACTTAATGTAATTTTTAGTGTTCCTTTTTTAAATTGGAATTTATAGGAAAAAAAGACCAAGAATTTGTTAAACTTTGCTACAGTTTAATAACTTAAAGTAAATTAAATTATTCTAGTAACTAAAAGAATAAACAAAAAGGGATTTATATCTCCTAGGAAAATAGTAATCAATCACTCTACTATATTTCATAAATAAAAAGATATGGATTTTTGATGTTTCACTTTATCTTTTACAGTTAATTTGATCATAATTTCCCCAAAATGATCAATAGTAAGAACTTGAGTTCTCACATTTTCTATGTACAAATATTATATCCTAGGTACAAACTAGAATTTTTGGAAGCATTTCAGTCTCTACTTTCCTTACAAATATCTTAGGTGAGAAATCTAATAATAGAGTATGAATTATATGTTCTCTGTCCTTCCATCCTGTACTCTCACTTACCACTCCATCCCCCCCCTTCTAAGGTTAAATGGGAAAAGTCATCGCTCTAGACACCAATTTTATTCTGCTGGCATTATGCCTGCAATTCCAGGAGCTCTGCTTCTCAGAGATTAATGTGAGCGGGCGGAGCTTCTCCTTGGACGTAAGCTATAACAAACTGAAACTCAGTATATATTTTTCTTTAAAAAGCTTAACTTTTAAATAAAATACATATGAAAGTTACTTTTCAGTAATTACTATTAGTCACATAAATTTTAAAGAGAAATATAACAGGGGCACCTGTGTGGCTCGGTTAGTTAAATGTCCAACTTCATCTCAGGTCATGATCTCGTGGTTTGTGAGATGGGTTTGTCAAGGTTTGTCAAGGGTTTGTCAAGCCCCGCATCAGGCTCTGTGCTGACAACTCAAAGCCTGGAGCCTGCTTCAGATTCTGTGTCTCCCTCTCTCTCTGCCCCTCCCCCGCTCACACTCTGACTCTCTGTCTCTCTGTCTCTCTCTCTCTCTCTCTGTCTGAAAAATAAATAAACATTAACAATTGTTTTTAAATAAAGAGAAATATAACAAATAACAAGCCTTAAAGACTTAAACAACTTACTTAAAATGAACTTAAGGAGACTCAAAATTTTTTAACCTATTTTATGAAAGTCTGATTATCATGTTCTGATGTAAGGAAATCCCTTAAACTTACTCTATTATCTAGTCCAGGCTCCCTGATTTTAGGGCAATGTGTTATCAGCAGTCCTTAGTTACCTGAATGAATCTTAGTAGAGTAATAAAGGTTCATATTTCTCCCCAGTAATAAAGAGTTCATCAAATGGTACACCCATTTGATCTCTTTAGTTTCTTTCTGTCCCTTATTATAAGCCCATCCTATTGTGAGTTTTCTGCCTTCTACATTCTTGAATCTCTTTCAAGATACCTGTAAAATAAAAAAACAGGAAAATGCAAAGTCAGGCTGAATGGAGGCCTGATGTCATGAATTTGTCTTTGAAGAAGGTGAATGTGTAGATGAGTAAAGGAAGACAGCCAAACCATCATTTGGAAAGAAACAAGAGTGCACAGAGTAGATAGGAAAATAAGGTTGGGGCGGGGGACTTGGGGGCGGGGGGGAGATGTTGCTAATGGCCTTTCTGAATGAGCCTACACTGAATTGAATTTTAGACAAACCATTCAGAATTTTGTACACACATGTGAGATAATGTTAATAATAATATATTAACTTTTTTTTAGGTTAGAGATCATGCCTTATACATTTTGCTTTCTTGATGAAATATAGCTTGTCTATGTACAAATGTTTGTTGGTGGATTATTTAGAGTTTTTCTTTAGTCATAGCATAAACTATGGGCCAATCAAGCAACAAGTATTTATGTAATACATCCCATGTGTCTAGCTTATGCTACATTCTATGGAGATATAAGACAAATACAAAGTTTATAACCTAATAGAGGGCTGATATTTAATAATTAGAAATAAAGAATAGTGCTAATCAGTATAATAAAGACTGTAAAATCAATGGGAGTTAAAAGAAGGAGGAAGTGATTCTTGACTCTTGAGCTGAGTCTTGAAAGATGATTTAACTTTTAATAAGAGAAGAAGCAATGCCACTCTAATCTGGGAAGCCACATAAGCAGGGACATAGATTTGAGAAGTGAGTGTGTTGGTCAGCAAAAAGGACTGACATTGGGAGAGTAGAGGGGAAAGGGTAATGGCAGACCTCAGAAGCCAGACAAGAAACTTGGACCTAAGTGCAGGCGTTAAGAATCATTTACAATGAGGGGCGCCTGGGTGGCGCAGTCGGTTAAGCGTCCGACTTCAGCCAGGTCACGATCTCGCGATCCGTGAGTTCGAGCCCCGCGTCGGGCTCTGGGCTGATGGCTCAGAGCCTGGAGCCTGTTTCCGATTCTGTGTCTCCCTCTCTCTCTGCCCCTCCCCCGTTCATGCTCTGTCTCTCTCTGTCCCAAAAATAAATAAATGTTGAAAAAAAAAATTTAAAAAAAAAAAAAAAAAGAATCATTTACAATGGGCATTGAGGAGGGCACTTGTTGGGATGAGCGCTGGACGTTGTATATAAGCCAATTTGACAATAAATTATATTTAAAAAGGGCAAAAAAAGAACCATTTATGAAACTTGGTTTAGGAAATCACATAATATTACACTTAAATAATTGGATTGGAGAAAAAAGTGCCTGAAAGCTGGGGAATCTATAGGCAAGCAAGAATAGCAATCTGGTGCTTAACAGATGAGGTCCCAAGCTAGGTTAGAGAGAACTGGAATGAAAGAAAAGTGTAGGCAAGATAAATTTAGATGAACCATCAAAGCCTGGTGGAAGTTTGGAAGTGTCCAATGAAGGTGTAGGAGGAATCAAACATATTCCAAGATGTCTACACTGGATGGTTGGAAAATGGGTGGTCGTCCAGAGACAAATGTACACGAAAGGGAAAATAAGTTTTATCAGGAAGTTGGTAAGTATGGTTTTCAATGGTTTGAGTAATGTCGTTGGAAACTTGAAATGGAATATAGATAAGAGGGAGAAGTTAATATATTGGAGGAAATATTTAGAGAGCAAGGACTGGTTTTGCTTCCCACTTGCAACTCTGTGCATTACCCAGCATCTAGCACAGGGCCTTAAACATCATATACATTCAATGGTTATTTGTTGGCTGAACAACTTAATCGAGTATAACTCCCTGTTATCATTAATGAAAAAAACAAACACACACACATGCAAAAATAATGTCAAAAATAGCTCTCTTAAGACTGTTATCAAAAACACAAAAGATAAGTGTTGGCAAGGAAGTGGGGAAAAGGGAATATTTGTGCACTGTTGGTGGGAATGTAAATTGCAGCCACTATGGGAAATAGTATAGAGGTTCCTCAGAAAATTAAAAATAGAACCACGCTATGATCCAGCTGTCTGGGTAAATATACAAAATAAATGGAATCAGGATCTTGAAAAGATATCTGCACACCTATATTCATTGCAGCATTATTTGCAATAATTAAGACTTGAAAGCAATCTAAAAGTCCATTGATGGATGAATAGATTTTTGAGATGTGTCATATACATACAATTGAATATTATTCAGCCTTAAAAAAAAGAAGGAAATCTTGCCATTTAAGACAACATGGATGAACTTGGAGGACATTTTGCTAAGTGAGATAAACCAGACACAGAACAAATACTACATAATCTCATTTGTATAAGGAATCTAAAATGGTCAGACTCCTAGAAGTCGAGTGTAGAATGGTGGCTACCAGGAGCTTAGAGGAGGGGAAAACAAAGTATTTGTCAAAGGGTACAAAGTTTCAGTTATGCAAGATGAATAAATACTAGAGATTTACTGTACAACACAGTGCCTGTAGGTAACAATACTGTATTATATACTTAAAAATTGGCTAAGAAGGTAGATCTTAGGTTAAGTGTTCTTATCACAAAATACTAATAATGATAATAACTAAAGAGGGTTGCAGGAAACTTTTGGAGGCTATGGATATGTTTATGCCATAGACTGTGGTGATAGTTTTACAGGTGTATACTTGTCTCCAAACTCATCAAGTTGTATACATTAAGTACGTACAACTTTTAATATGTCAACCATACTTCAATAAAGGATTTGTTTTTGTTTTTTGTAAGTGACTTCCACAGGGAAATGTAACTACTCAGGGCCAGAGCTGAAAATAGAACTCCTGTCTCTCCACTCCTAGTCTGGTGCTTTTTTTTCTTTATTAGAACTATATTAAAAAGTAAGTGCTGATAATAACAATCTTTGCAGTTTTAGACTTTATGTATTAGTATACATGTGAGAGTTTGTGAGTGTTTGAATGTATAAGAATGTCAGATAATTTAATTCCACTTTGACATTCCATGTCTACAATGATCTTATATAAAAGGTGTGAAATACCAGAGTAACAAAAGCAGTGTGGCCAACTGAATTTAAAAGTAAGCAAACTACAAAAATCTAA